TCTATTCTCTCAAGGCTTTCATTGATTTTTTTGGTGGGCAGTCAGGCGGTCGGTATACGATAGTTATGCACAGTTAGAGATGGGAGATATACATTTGGAACATGTAGTATAACATGTTCCAAACGTTCACTGGAGCCTAAATGCAGGGAACTGTTTTGGCCGCGAGGGAGTTTCTGAGGTAGACTATAACGCCTCCAATTTTACCTCCCTTCGTTTCGGTCTGCTCGGTAATATTGAAAGCCTTTCATTTTGATTTCTCCATCTTGGATATCCTCTTAGATGTGACTCGGTTAAGGCAAGCATGATTTTCCATCTGTCTCAGTAATTCCTTTAAGTACGCCGATCTTGTGGCGTTTAATTCTTAAAAGAGCTCCACGATGTTGGCTACTATGATGCCAGACTCTTCCTTTCCATGCGTTCTTAGTTGCTGTAACTCTACACTGCCATTGGTCTCTCGTGCAGCAGCTGTTGCATTTAGAGATCTTTGTTAAGTGCTCAATACAATTTTCACGAATTTTTCCTTATGCTAGAAGTGCAACCTTGATTTAAATAGATGCAATCAAGTTTTTATCATGGTCTATGCACATTGGGCGATCGATTTTACGACAACTTAGTATTTCGAAATTAAATTGAAAAAATTTGGGCTTGACTCTGTTTCGTATTGAACTTCTGGACCGGTCATGCTCTCGTCGTAGCCCGGCAGCTAGTGACCGGTCAGGCTGTCCTCATAGCTCGTCAGCTAGTGACCGGTCAGGCTGTACCTGAAGTCGACGTTTCACGAACGGTTATCTGTCCTGGATCTGTCTCATATATAACTAGATCGGAGTAATGATTTTTTTTCAACATCTTAGATTTTTTATAATTCGAATATTCAAACGAGATGGATCATCGTCACAGTAAAAATTTCAAACGTTTTTCATATTTTTTCCGTTGACATCAAGCGAATATTGATCACCGCTCTCTGTTGGGTTGTATCCTCATAGCTTTTTTTCAACTTTGGACTAATGTTTTTCAAAAGTTACAGTTTAGTGCATTAACCGCTGGCTGTTGTGCAGTTATATGGGTTACATGCTCACATGTCCTACAACATTTAAATGTTGACTGGATAAGATATTATTGAAATTTTTACATAAAATTCTTCCATAACTATCGGGTTCTGATTTTCGCGTTTATTAACAAAAATAATACTATTGACGTGGTAGAAGTCGCTTAAACTCGCCCGCCGGCAACAGGTCGCAAGATTATCGATGATATTAAAGCCATCGGGATCAAAAGCTAATAATAATGATAGAATATATTACCCTGATGCAGGAAAATCTTTAATCGAAATGAGTAAACCACAGAAACGGTCAGTAACAAACTGTTCATGAAACCGTTAGTAAAATCAACAGTCCTACACTAGCGGGTATGTAGCATAATGATCATCTTGTATTCTAAATGACCCGCCACTATAACATGTACTGTATGTACAAAGATACCGAACACCAGTATAGGGATTCTGAGCACATTTTATGAGTTCTTGTTGTTCATTATACTATTGTTCCAATAAAGTATCTTCGTTACTTACTAAAACTACCCTTCACGGGCGAAACGTTAAACGTTACCAAGTATACGTACTACGAATACAGCTGCACTTCATCGTGCCAACCAAGATAAGTAATTGGGCTGTGAGAACTTTACTAGAAATGTCCTTCTGTGTTAGTGGCAAACTTCATAGTACCATATAACATTATGATAAACCAATATCGTTATTTATTGTTCATAATATATCATTATCACGGTAAAATTGTGGTTAGTGAATAGGTAAATAATTATGAATTATATAAAAACAATGATCCAATCTATGCATTCGTTACGAAATACCCTTGTAATTGAATTCGATATACTCAAATTGTTACGATCGCCTCACTTCGTTACAAATACTTAATAATTTTAGTTTATTTTGATTGCAAATTTATTGGTTACTTTTAAATCTGCGTCTTTCTTACATATCTAAAGTTGTGTTTTATAAATAAATTTTAGGGTCGCTTGTGCACCGAACAAATTGTTCTTCATAAATCACGTATCGTGAGATAGGATATTGGATTATATAGTCAGTAGTCCAACGTATGATGTCATATGTTGGAGTTATCTGAGTTTACGGTCGTCAATCACCGGTGTTTCATTTATCCAGCAAGTGCTAATAAGACTTTACGATCACGAAAGGCTTTTTATATTGATCACAGCACGGAGATTTTTTATATATTTATATTTAAATTGCTGATCGAGATACATAAATTTTTATTGCGTATATTGATCCAACCTAAGTTGCTGTTGCACCGAATTTGGTATGTTAAAGAAAGCATACAAATAATCATTGCGTATTGGAAGCTGAAACTTATAGAACAGCCTTCTATGTATAACTTCCTAAAATTATCGCATATTAAAGGAATATTAGTTTACTTCCTAAGTAAGCGCTATTGAATAATAAAAAAACTATAGTAAATACAAGTGGTTATGTTGATTGTACACGTTGGATCAAGTTATTAAAATAGTTTGAATGTTCTCACCTCAATTGCGTCGAATTCGAGTCCAGAAAACAAGTTTCTTTGAAGTCTGACTATTTAATATATATTGGACATTGAAAATAATTGAAATCTTCTAAGGTGTTTTCTATTTCAAATAGGGTCCGTGATAGATACTAAGAATAATTTTTGGCTGCCGATCAGATATAAATATCTAATAAATCTCGTTGCTTTGTTCATGTTATGATACTTAATTGTTATTAGAAGAATGTATTCATGGTGGTAACTTTATTAGCTTGAATTTGATTTCGTTGCGCATGATGTACCATCAACAATGAATATTCAGTGACTGCGCTCATGATGAAGGCGATAACTCTCAGCCAAATTCGAATATAGCGTTATAATAAGAAATTTATCTGCGTTTTAAATTTTTCGGTTTAACTAACACATAATGAGCCAAATCTCTAACAAAAATTGAAATGTTTCCATTTAATCTGTGGTGAATCCTGTGCCGAGGCCAATAATGATGGTAATCATTATTGGCCAATAATTTATGGTAATCTGCCGGACAAGGGCTTAGACTATAACCGTATTCATCCTTGCATCAGTCAAATTCTCAAATATACGATTTTTTCAAGTCCGATTTCAAGGCTTAGTGTGTATCAAGGATATTATTATTATTTAACCAGTAGCCAGCTTCGGTTATGTATCTCAACCATTGCAGAATATCATCAGGCTTTAAGTTAATTTCATCGCATTGGTAAGGTGACCTGCATCGACCTATCAGGCACACATATCAGCTCCAGCAACTGCAATTTGCATACACTTATCGCGGCTGAAGGAACTTTGCTTTTATGTTAATGTGAACACCCAAAAGTTACCAGCCATGTCCAGACATCGGATGAGACGTAAGTGCGACGAACAATGAACAAAACTGTACTCTGATGGAAGTCCATCATTTTTAATGATAGACGAACAGTAAAGTTGTCTGCATTATCCGATCATGAATTGATAGTCACACGCTTCGTTCCTCCAACAATTCGCCGAACTTTTTGGATCAATCAGAGGCCCTAGCGCTGAAGTGTGTGGTCACGTCAGTGGTGTCTTAGCTCTATGATGAGAAGGTATAAATTGAACATAACAGGGAATGTATGGATCTTAAGAGATAGAATTACAGTCTAATATTCATGTCTTTTCCTATATAAGCTTCAAATTATTAAATGTTTCACTAGAATTTGTATATGAAAACTGAGTTTCACGAAAAACCTAAATGCGTAGGTATAGATTTTGTCGCTGATATGGAACATGAAGGTATACTTTAGAAGCTTGAAGTGCGGCATTTGTCCAACATCTTAGTTTTCCATGCAAATCCATGCACAAATATAGTGGAAATATTAGATAAATTAGCTCGCAGATTTGATTTCGAACTCACTGAGAGATTGAGGGCCCCAATGACTATAACTAGATTTTAAATAAAAAGTGACATCATATATAGAAAAAAATGAAGGCAATGAAACGATTCAAATGAATAAAAACCATTTAAACTGTCGTTTAACTCGAAAGTAAATATTAAGTAAATTATATTGTCAAGATTGGTTTTGTTTTGGATGCGCTCGCTGAACTTATCATTTCTGTAATATTGGAATCAATGAGTTTAGATAGACGAGGAAGATCACTTTTTTAATTTATTATGGGAGAGAACAGTTATTAAATTTATACTGAATATCTATTTGACACGTAGTATCCTGAGGCAACTTAATTTTTTCTCTCATAAAATCCAGCTTTTTTCAATTTTGGTTATAATGAAAAAAAGTTATGAGATAAATCTGGCACTCTTATTTGAAAAGAAAACGCTGATAAACAAGATTACAAAATTTTAATATCTAGCAGCATTCTTTTTCTATTTGAGCCATAAAAGAAGTATCTGCTTCGCTACCATATTGCCACAAAAAATTTCCACATATCAGTCAGTTCAACAAAATAAAATTTGGAAGGATTGTTCAACTGTTGCATTACTATAAGAATTAGTTGGCGTTTGCTGAAAAGATATATTGCATAAATTATTCATTGATGATAATTAAAATTTTACTGGTCTTGTCTTGCATCGTTACTTCTGTTTGTTACAAGGTATCCCAGTAACTGCATCTTGAGATTTATCGTTGTTAAGTCTTTAGGAAGTTTTACGAAAAATACCGAAGAAGTGTTCCTCATTTTAGAAAAATGTCCATGGTAATTTATGTACATTAAATAATTTTATTATAATTATTATGATCTTTAGGCTGCCATTGTATCGACTGATCTGTTGTGAGTAATTCATGGAGAAATTTATTATTTATATAATTTTATCTTATCCAACCTCCCGTTTTTACTTTTTGTCTATGCATTATAATTTTTTCAGCCGAATCAATAGCAGTACATGATCAAAGTATTTATCATTGTTTTAAAGTGAGTCTAAAATTGTTAATTACATCATTGGCAACTCATTTGAGTCATTTCATTAGCCCTGTTCTTATTTCTTGATAATGATTGGCCGAGAGAAAATGCAGAGGGGAGGTTCGATATTCGTGACAGCTTTGCTGGTGAGCTGCTGGGCGTTGACAGTTCGAGCTCTCATCGAGACCAAGAGTTTCATAAAGGTGAGAAAATTAAACGTATCTCAGATGTTTCGTTTTCAATGCGAGTCATCAGACATCGACTGAAACAGTCGTACGGTGTCCTGTAACAATGCGCTACGATAGGGTGAAAAATTAGTCTAGTGTTTCAATATATATTTGTCGCACATGCCCCTGGTTTATTCTTGCTGAAATTATGCGTGGCAAAGAATTTAGCTTAGAGATGTAAGAAAAGGTATATTTGAATTTTTTTCATTCGTGAAAAATGTCTTTAAAGCTTTCTCTTGTTGATTATTAGAAGTTCTTTAGTTGGATCCAATATTGATGTTTGGTTTCAGAAATTTTTAAAGTTTTGACAATTTGCGTTTTCTGCCACCGTTTTTAATTATTAAAATTTCACAAGAAAATGATCGGGAGGTTCCTGATGACTGTGAATTACTCATCGACCGGTAATTAGAAGTACGTAACAGACGCAATGAATTCAACTGTTATGAATTTCTCTCATTCAAAGACATAATTACTGGACTTCGGCTTAGGTAAGGAAATTATAGGAAGAAACTTGGATCGTACATTCCAGGTACCGAACGCGACGAAAATTCCTCTAGACGCTTGCTTCATCGACTCGCCAACGGTGATCATTGGGAACTTGGTGGCGCTCTGTGGATCCATGTGCATCAACAACGACCAATGCGAATTTTTTTGCACAGGTGAGACAATATTCATCTGAAATTTACTATCCTGCTTCAGGCCTGACAAAAAGCTATATCATTTAAGAGACCGAATAAAGACAGACCGGAGGGAATTCAAATATAGAACATGCTGTGAAACTCTGTGCATGATCGTGATTATAAGCAATAGTCTCGCAGTCCTCTTGTTTTGCACTGGCTGCTTTTGCCGCCGACTTGCGGCTTATTTATTTCACTCAATCAATCCCATTTTGCTTGTGCATATCCATGCACGCATGGAGTGCTTCCAAATGGACTAAACTATTATTCGCTAAATCAATCCTGGTTTTTATACAGACTACGGTGTAATCCAATCCCGAGGCCAGGTGACTGGGCCGTTTCTATTCGCATTTAACTGTTGAATTTCGCGTGCGCCTAACATTCGTACGCGCGACTTCCATGTTAATTTTTCCTTTTCAGAAGTCACCTAGTGCACTAGATCGCCCATAAGTTCACAGGCCTGATTTGGTCTCAACTTCCTATAGCACTTGACATGATCATATCGAACTCGATTTTCTTTCGTGTCCTAGTCTTTTCGACAAATAGTCCTCCCGCTATATCTTGTCCTCGAAATTTCGTGGACTAGGCAATATCTTGCCTGTAATGGAGGAAATTAAGGAAATGTCTCATAACCTCAATCAGCATAAAATCTCGACTTACAAGTAACATTTCGTGCTCAGTATTTTAATCTGCAGTTTTCTTTCATTATTCATTCACTGTGCTGGTCAACCGACCTCAGAATAAAATGAACCGAAAAATGCAAAGCCGAGTGTTTTTTAAGTTCACCAGAATTGAAGCAGCCATTTCGGAGAGCAAAAAATGCGACTGGTTTTGCAAATTTCGGTTGAAATTGACAATGTGGTCGAGGTCGTTAAAAATCGGCCAAACCGCAATTTGGCATAATCAAAGCTAACACCAGTTTCTGTTTTTCAATTAAATTTTGACGTTAATTCATCTCATTCCTTATCATGTTGCCTAATATACGTCAAAAATATTTGTATATTAACTCAATCATTTGCTTATCGACAGACGAAACAACAAACCGATGCTTCTTGTCACGTGCCGTTGTAAGTGCTCGCTACACAGAAGCGACCACTGCAACGGTTGCCATAGACGCATGCTATTCAACACTGAAGATACGTGACGTCATTCGTCAGAGTGCAAATGTCACTGCATCGCCATCGTATGATTCTACTACGGCTGTCGCTAAAGCCTTGGATGGTTATTATTGTCCTGACGGATCAACTGCCTGGGAAGTTTATCTTTCCTCTCAAGGAGACAACCCCTATTATCAGATTGATTTTCTTGAACCGATTAGGGTCATCGAAACTCGGATTGCCTTCATTTATCCCGGCTGGGCCTCGAACGTGCAGATCTTCCTAGGAAATTATTCAGTATTTTCTCAGAATCCCACTTTTGCATATCGACCTGGAATTCCTAGCACAAACTATTTTATTGAGTCCTTCCTGCCCAGCGAGCCTATGGTGGGTCGATACCTCACCGTCATTGCTGAAGTTTCTAGCTGGTTTCTTGGCATTGGGGAAATTTACGTTTTGGTCTGACTGATCAAAAAAAAATCATTACCGAAGCCTCAAAATACAAAAATAAAAGAGAATATGAGGTACTTATTTGAATACAATTTTTTTATACCTTTCGACAAGTAGCCATCACGGTCATGAAAAATTTTTTGATTATTAATGAATTCTTCTAAAACTTTGAATAATTATTATTTTAAAACGTTGATTAATGAATTCATCTTCTAATCCTGCAAAGAAAGATTTAAAAACCATGAAACCATGTCGTTTTTATTGCACAATGTTATAGCATGATAGCGATATTCCTTCCTAGGTCGCGAAATGTAAGCAAACCAGACGACAGACGACGAAAAGAATTTGTAACGACGCAGTTCAGCTCATAAACAATGAGATGACGTCACGAATGGTTCAGCAGAGCCGCACTAGATAAGGAACATGGGCAACTATCAGTAATTTATTTCGACCATTTAAATAGCTCTAAGCCGGGACCTAAAATTAGTATTTAGATTCATTACGCTAAATGTGTTATTTTTGTTGCATTTTAACTGATTTAAATTTTATCATTTAGCATGAACAGAAGGTTGATCCATTTATAATTGATCGTACAATGCATACGAATGAATAAAGATTTAATTAAATATTTACCTGCACAATTTATGCTCTCACAAATGATGAAAAATCAAGTGCATGCATGCGCTATAAGTCTGTTTCGTTGATGAAAATGAAAACGAAATTTTCTGAAAACGGTGTAAATGCAATGATTAGCTGCACTTACACTTTTTCAAGTTAAATAGAACTCTTATGTTCTCAGCTGCGTACTATCGTTTCACACTCTAATAACTTTATTTGGTATAGAAGTACTCATATTTTACGCTTCAAGTCTCCATGGACACAATATTGGGAGGCCACAGAGGTGACATGGCCTGTCAAAATATTGTTACCATGAGATGTATGTCATAAGTCTTTCAGCTATCAGTGTGCTCGTATTTCAGCGCGTTTACTTACCGTGCTTTCAATAAATTTTGAAACAATTGAAGTATACACTTTTCTCCCTATCATGAAACTAATATATGTCTACGAATTAGGGGTTTAATTGCATTGAAAATAATAAAAATAATGTAAGGTACATCAACTTAGGTGGATTTTTGTCAAATAATCGTGGAATTTTAACGCTGTATTTGTTCATAGCTCAAACCTGGATAAAAAACTTTTACCTAATGCACTTGAGCTGAATATGTCAAATAATGTGATATTTGAAGAAAGGGAATTTACTTCAGTTGGAACGTAATTGTTAGTATAATCTTTAGGCAGCCTTAAAATTCAACTATAGTCCATACGACCCAAACGCCTGCTTGCCTTTGAATTGTTCATATCATTTGTTGTTCGTGCTTCTTTTGACTTTCTCATGAAGAAAAAGCAGGGCCTCGGCTGTGATGACAACACTGTCGAGGCAATAGGAGACAGACTTCTCATCGATCAGGAGCCCAGAAAGGAGGTCGGCGATAAGACTGGAGTGATCGGGAAGGGAGCCTGATGGCTTCGGAACACAACTTCTGGTCAAATGTTTAATTGTGAAACTCTGGCTGCCTCCACGGATTCATGATGAGCCTCTAAGTCTCCTCTACACCTGCCGGTCCGGGATTTGTGACTTCTGCGCCCTGTACCCTGAGCCTACTGCCCTCCCTACCAACCATCGGAGCTTGTCCCACTGACCATGCACTGTAATGTCCGGCAACTTGAAATGCTCAATTTATTGTCAAGGACGGTATTAGGGTCTAGGGATCTTTAGCCGCTTCACGGCCTTGACTCACAATAAAGATGAAGAGCCGATGAAATTGAAAAAATTTATAAAAACTGATTTGGAAAGGATTTAAATAAATTGATATATTTAATGAAACGACTAATTTCATAGATTTGTGCGCGTGTTAAACCATGCCCCGATATTGCACGTACACAATGATTATCATCATCGTAAGTGCCTAATTGATTAATTTCGTTTGGAAGGTGGCGCGGGAACTTCGTCCCAGACGTCAACCACCTACGATCCATCGGTTGTTTCATTGAACGAAAGTTTGCGGGATTTGCACATCGTCAAAACCGTCCGCGGGTTTTGATTCTCTATACGGATATATTAAACATAATATATTTGAGACTGTAATTCTGATTTTCCCGCCATAATATTTTCGTTAGAATATGTCGAAAAAATATAACTGTGATTTATTTTTGTGCGCATCTTCCACTGACTTCACGTGTTAAATCATATATATTTAGTGAATAAATTAGAATTAGCTATTTAAATAATGATCAACTGAGGCAATTATCAAAATATATTTTATTTAGTGGCAAAAAATAAAATGAATAAGCGATTATTTCAGCAATTGAGAAAATTTAAGGCGTGTTTGAAGAGAATTTAAAGTAAAAAAATTAAAATGAGTTAAATGAAACAAACAGCCTACAATTAGGGGTCTGAAAACAATTATATTTGCAGGAATAAAATATGCCCTCTTCTTGAAGTTAAGGCTGAATTAGCAAATCTTTCATATCAGCTCACGGCAGCCCAAATCCGCGTAAACAAATGACTGAAGGCGAGCACCGAAAATTTGACTGTTAAGATGTGCTCACCGATAGGTTGGTTACCCAGGAAGGAAATGAATTATCGTAATGGATTTTTATAACCAAATTGAGTGATAATTCCCAACTAATCGAACCTAATCATAAGTTAATAACAGGAAGGTTTTCAAGCAATCCATTGCCCTATGAAGATTTATAGAATCAAAAAGATTATTATCCATTTTTATTTCTAGTTTACCTCGCCTCTTGAGGGGAGGGTATGGTCCAGTAATTACCTGGATCAATAATTTATACCCATATATAATTATATTTGTTCCTATAACAGCTCCCGATATAATAATAATAATATTAATATATCAGGAATAAAAATATTATAATAATTTCATAATATTATATTATAATTATTTCTATATTATTTTATAACATAATATAATATAATAATAATATTATTATAATATTATATTATGTTATGATAATATTATTATAACAGCTGATAATATTTAATTAATAGTAACTAATTAATGTACGTGTCACGCGTATCATAATTGCAAAAATTTTTTCATTTTTATTTTTAAACAATTTGACATTTACCCACTTATTGTTTAAATAAATATTATGTTTGAACAACATAGTGATTAGATAGTGAATAATACTGCTTATCGTATGCCTTGAAATAACAATATTTTCCCTGGTGACGAAAATGACAGTTTCGTTAAAAACTCGTACGCGTCAAAAGTGCGATTTCGATGAACGCAACTGACTAACGAATATTTAGAGGCAAATAATTCTGAAATTAATGTTTGCTTGATTTCAAAGTCAAACGGTAATTAGTATGCGTCGCTCGAGAACTCTTTAGCTCAATTCGAAATATATGCTTGCATGATAAAGAGTACCGCGTCCCTCTTCGTCGGTTGATTTGGACGACACGTCCACGGCTCGGGCCCGTCCACCCGAAGCTGTACTCGTCGTCGTTACCGTTTCAGGGTTGCCGCATGTTTGGCTACATTATTTATAATTATCCAACTTATTTTAATGTCCGGTTCACATCTCTAGTGAGCTGTTTTCGACGACGTCGGTGTTTCAGCCGTTCCTAACTTTGCATGTTTTTCAATCCTTTTTATCGGCGTCGTGTTGCAGTTGTTCTGAACTTTGTCATTTTGCAACTCTTTTCTACAACGTCGTGTTGCAGTTCCCGACAACAGGCCGTGTTACAGCTGATATCAACGACGTTGTATTTTTGTCATTTTTAACTTCATTCGTGTTGCAACCGTATGCAACGGTGCTCATGTTGCAGTCGTTGCCAATAGCGTCACGATTTGGGACATTCCAAATAACTTACTGCGCTGTAGTCTTTGGCAACGGTAACAGTCGACACAAGTGCGGCCGAGGTCAATAGCGTGACTGAATTAGCGGCTAGAAGTTGCTGGTCTTGATTGACGCCAATTGGGGCCCACTGATTTTGGTAAACCGTATTGGAGGAAAAGAAAGCTTGCTGAAACTTTGTAAATCCTCGTGTCCAGTGGAGAGGTTTTTTGCATAAAAATGAATGAGAATTGGATGAAAAATTCGAGTTGGGAGTGTTTGAAGACTTGAATTTGTAGATGTGTTTGGAGACTGGAATTTAAATATGTGGTTCCTCTTAATTTTTTTTAATTTTACTGGATTAAATCTCACAAAACCAAGGAAATGGTTTTAAATTTTCCTCTTAACATATTGTTGCGAAAACAGTTCATTTGGTAATAAGAATCGGTAGATCAATTTTTTCTCGTATATTTATTGAGATGATCTGATTCTGTTAACGTTTGATTGTCATCGACGCCCACCGTTGCGAGCTTTTGTTAATTTAAGCTATTTTCCGAGTGAAACGTGTTCTATTGAATATTTTATTCAGATTTAATCATACAAGTGAATTCAGGAAATATAAAGCACTCCAATTTAATGCAATTATAATAGATGTGTCAGCTTAGCTTAAGCCTTTGCTGATTTTAGACATCACAAAACATTTTGCATGAGCTCCGAACAATAGTTTTACACACATTTACCACTCACCAAACGACACTGCAAATTAGCTCACAATTTCTAGATTCACAATATTTTCATAATTTTGATTGAATGAAAAAAATCAGAATTTTGAACGGTCAAATAGCATTTTAACACTCGCAACGAAATTCGAACGAATGTTGAAGCTGTTATTTTAATCAAAAAATGTTCTGTTCAACTATAGATATCACTCATCTGACGAAGTACTATAATTTTTAGAACTAACTACTTGCAGCTGGTGTATCGGCTTGCGTACGAGTAAGTTTGCTTTTCGGGATATTCTGATTACAATTTTAAACAAGTAATTACTTTTCGAAAATAGGAAATGCAATTGTTATTTATAAACTAATGGCATAGACCTAGATAAAATGTCTATTTTTTTCTTCCCAAATAGAAAATAGAAAATTGGAAACGAGATTCTCATCATGGGAAACTAAATAATTGGAGGCTCTGTAGACGGACCATTCTC